GGAGAAGTAATATTTGACTAACCTTCATGATGGAATGACTGTCTGGGTAGATGAGGGCAGAGTGGTGGATGTCATATATCTGGATTTCAGCAAGACTTTTGACACCGTCCCTCACAGCGTCTTCCTGGGCAAGCTCCGGCAGTGCGGGTTAGATGAGTGGACGCTGAGGTGGTTTAAAATCTGGCTGGATGGCAGAGCCCAGAGGGTGGTGATCAGTGGTGCAGAGTCTAGTTGGAGGCACTGGTCTTTCTGGAGTATATTCGGAGCCTTTCTACTAACTGCGATTTGCCCAGTAACTTATTTTAGAAGTGAGTGAATATTCTGAGAGATTAGTTTGTACCATTGCTTTTCTTGTGGGGCCGACCGTTGGCTTTGGAGCTGCTCATTTGAAGAAGCAACTTAGTAGATAAAATAAACTTTTGGTCTTGGGGTGAAGCTAATGGAACTGAAGCTGGAGGAGTGTGAAGGGTAGGTGTTCTCCCTGATGCTTCTTGACTGTAGTGTAGGAGTAGGATGCGAATAGCTGGATACCTCTCCCTGTGAAGACGGAGGTGCCCATTTACACCCCCACACAACATTGTTCTCAGAATAAGGTGACTGTGTAGTGGCTTTATGGAGCTGTAGTGGAGAAGCTTTATTGTTAACAGTGCAGGTAGAATATTAACGTTTTATTTTAGTTTCCTTCTTTACTTGCTGTTGTTTTCCTATAGCAAGTCTATTACTCTGATTCTTGGGGAAGAAAAATCATTATTTTTTAGGATTACTCAGACACCATATCAATGAGTAGAAATACCATCACATATTCTGCTTATATGCTATCAGTGTAGGTGTAACTCTGTGGTACATGGGGTTTCAAAGCCAACTTGTTTTGAAGTTGGAGCATCTTACGGCAAATCCACAAGACTTTCAGCTAATCATGAGAAAGTCTGAGTGCATCTGAGCACTGATGGAGTGGTTCTTCTGCTCAGAATGAGGGAATGAATGACTCTTCTGCTGCACTTTTGGGAAGAGGAGTTTTGAAGGTGCTTGTCAGGGACTTTATCTGATGCGTGTGGAGTAAAGTCCAGCAAAATGTTGTTCTCGCACTTGCACCGTTTTTACAGCATTACAAAAAGGGAGTTTGAAGAGTGTCTTCAGCCAGGCAGAGTTTAATGTGCATTCCAGATTTTTTTTTCTTTCTTTTACTACTTTTGCTCATTTTTCCTTTTTTTTCATCTCTCTGATTAGGAAGCACCTAAGTACAAAAATCGATATGGCAGGAAGGGGAGTAAAAGAGCAGTGAATGGCGAATGTGTTTCAAAGCTAGCGCTGTGTCTGTACGGCTCAGTAAGTCGAGCTCCTCGGTGCCTTTCCGTGGCAAAGCGTTTCCTCCCCTGCTTCCCCTTGCTTCCTGCGCCGAGTCCTGACCTCTGCAGACGTCCATAGTGACAGATGCACAAGGAATTCGCGCTGAGGTGGCCGCGAATGCCAGCGTGCTCGTTATCCGGGAGGTGACGGCTCATCACAAATCTATAAAGTCACCGATTATGATTATGAGAACTACCTCATTTCCCCTTGGTCAACATTTATCAGGTCAGCAGTTATCATTAGGTGCTGGGCTTTGCTTTCTGAGAACGAAGGTTATTCTGCAGGATTTTGTACCATATTTTAGTTTTCCATCGTTAACTATAGGCTGTAACTTTATATTTGGCCGTGTTAGGAATTTCATATAGGTTTTTTATGAACTGTACTATGGATCCCATTCTGCCTTATCTTTAAATAGAATACTAGTATCTGCCAGTAGAAGCAGAATATAGTAAGTTATACTTGCTGATTTAATATCTTATTCTGTATTATTCTTTACATTCAGATCCATTTAGCCAAGCATTTTTGTGGAAAATGTTTCCCTGAAATTCAATTTCCAGTCGCTCTTTGGATTAAATAAAGAATAATTTTTATGTAGAATTACTGTGACTTTTTTGTTTTGTTTTTTAACTCAGCACTGACTTGTAGACTAGAGTTCAACAATAGCACAGAAGGTCAATGTGAATAACAGAAAACAATAAACAGTACACTTTTTTTTTTATCTTGGGAGAAAATAGTGAGAAAGCTATAAAATGTGGCAAGGTGACAAATGAACATATGGGATAAAACCGTTATTTAATGGTATGCACTACTTGTCTCCTGCTGCATGGCAGTACTGGTTTGTGGGCTAGGGTCTGTCAAACTTGTAAATTCCCCCTACTTACTAATGAATTATTGGATGAGAACCTTGGCCAATTTACTTTTTTAGTTCCAGTAGTGGCCACTGGGCTAGTGCAGTTTACATCAGCTTGCATCTGTCTCAAAGCAGTGTTTTCTTTAAAAATCCAAATGATTCCTACTGACATGTTCCTAATCAATAGATATTGGAAGCTGCCCTACAGATACTGCCTCCTTCTTTGACTTAATTCTTAAAGGGCTGGTGAGAAAGGCTAGGCTGAGGTCTTTGGTAGAGCGGTGTATGTCGGTGGGGTGCTTTGTGCTCAGCTGCAGGGACTGCCCAACACACAGCACAAACTGCCTGTTGTGGTGAAGGAGCTTGTCACCGTAGACATGCTGTGGCTCCTCTCACCCTCTAGTAAAAGAAACAAGTCTGTTTGGTAGAGTCAGCTCGTGCAGTTAATGATACTTCTGTTTCTTCTAAGTTGGGTCGTGTTTTTGAGAGTATCTGTGGGGAGGGAAAAGAAGAGCCACAGCAGAAGAACTGAAACTTAAGTGGGAGAACATTGCTTGGGGTGACTCTTCCAGACATGCAGATGGCTTGCTCTGCCAGGAAAGAGGGGTGAATTGGGTTTTGGTGCTGCCTGATGGTGGTTCTGAATTTGGAGCATCTTCCAGGAGGAGCTGCTGGTGCTCAGTGTGGAAGGGGGGACTCTGTGACACTCTCTACCTGCTGGTTCCTAATGAGTATTTTGCCTTAAAAAAGCACTTGTTCCTACTATGGATTTGCGTTAAGCTTTCTGATCATGTAACTTTCTGATAATCACTTTTTGCGTTATCAGCATAGTCATATCCATTACTCCGCTGTGTCTTCAGTAAGTCATGCTGAAGCTTCAGAAACACCTCCTGAACTTTGGTGGTGTTCTTACTGGCATGAGTAGAAGGAATTTTTTAAGATAAAGCCAGTGTTTTCAAGAGTAAGAATTGAAGTAAGTTGATGGGCTGTGGTTGGGATCATATCTGGATGGCTGAAACTGAAGTCAGAAGTGCTAGACTTCATATTTCTGTTGGCCGATGGCTGTTCCTGCAATTTCTTACACTGTTCTTACAGTGTGTCTGTGAATAGATGTAACGGGAAGCATAACAAATGTGAAACAGCATCAGCTCTTTCTCCTAAAGAGTACCGCAGTATTTAGGGTAGTGCTGTGGTACTACTGCATTTTGTGTGCGAAAGCTAAGTCAGGATTTGGGATGCTCTGACTTTTCCTGATAAAAATGGTACAGGCGGCAAGGGAAATGGGATCCTGGGACCCTTTCTCTTCCAGCACAGATTCCTTCCATATTCCTGACTTTTCCTGGGTTCCCAGATTCTTACAGGGCATCACCCTTTTGGCAGTTCTTCATTTCAGGTCTTCAGTGGTGGTGTTGGAGGACGTTGTCCAATCTCCAGGTTTACTTCCTTGGGGTAGGGAAATGGAGTGGACACAGGAAATGCAGAAGGGACCCAACAGTGGGTCTAAGTGACTCTGCTGAGTGGTAGAGAACAAGGCATAAAATTAGTATTGTACAAACTTCAGTATTATCCAGGCTTAGTAGTTTTGATGCTGTAATTGAGCATATTGCTCATCAATACTGTAAAATGATAAAAGAAAAAAATTATTCTGGTGGGTATTTGAAAGGAGGTGTTTTGCGTGTATTACTTTACAATGATGGTGGGATTCATTTCTCTACTTATTTTTTGGTACTCTTTATACGGGTAAAAAAAATATATAAGCCCTTTCTTTCCGAGGCATATTGCTGTCAGATTGAGCCCCTGCAGTGTGTTGAGGGATGAGCCAAGTTTCCCAGATTCCTGTTGTGATGGATTGTGTACAAATCTGGAAGCTAAGTCAACTCTTAGTAACCGTGTAATCAGGGTTATGATACTGTGTTGGTAGGAATCTAGGAATACTGCAGATAAGTTAGGAAGTGCATTTGTGGAGAAAAGATTGAGTATTAAAAAGCAGAGTGGAGAAATGGAGGAATGCTAAAGGAAGATAAAGGAGAATGGACCAAAGATCTTTTCTCAGGCCTGGAAGTCTGCAGTGCACTTTGGGGTGCGCGTGTACGTACATTGGCTTGGTATGTGCGTGCACGTGTGTGTGATTCACTGGGAAGCTTTAAAGTGCAGTTGACACATACTGTTCTCCTAGAAATTTATGAAGGAAAGGATAGTTGCCAGGTTTCAAGGTTTGCATGGAGGGGTTGTGTTTTGCTTGTCATGTTCATCGCCCCCACATCCTATTTCCCTACCTAGGCTGTTAGGGGAAGAGGGGTATAAAACTTACTTTAAAACAATGAAGAAGCATTACCCAGCCCGTGGCAAGACACACAGCGCTTTTGGAGATGTCCATCTGTCAAGTCTGGCCCAAGAAAGGATGGGGGGGAAGCAGCTGTGAAAGGAATGTGAAAGGGGGCAGAGGGATCTAGAGGCCAGTGTAAATAGAAGGATTATTGGCTCAAGGAAGAGATCTGGTGTCATGCCTGCATGTGTGTGTAATAGATCCTTCTTTAAGTGCGGTCTGTGTGTGGTGTCAATCTCCTAATGCCTCGGTCAGAGGTGTGTTTCCGCAGTCCAGATTCAGGCTTTCAAAGTCTCTGGCACAGTCTCTGTGATTGATCAAAGCAAAATGATGGGTGTCATACGTGTGAAGGCTTTTGGGTTTTGTTTTTTCTTGGAAAACTTTCCCTGCATCAGCAGAGACTAACTTACGAGAGCGTGTTGTGGAATAAAAGCAAAAGTAAATCTCTCTGCTCTTCTCCCTTGCCTCTGTCTCTAGGATCCCGCCTTCGCCAGGAGGACTTCCCGCCGCGGATCGTCGAGCACCCCTCAGACGTGATCGTGTCCAAAGGAGAGCCCACGACGCTGAACTGCAAGGCGGAGGGGCGCCCCACGCCCACCATCGAGTGGTACAAGGACGGCGAGCGCGTGGAGACGGACAAGGACGACCCGCGCTCGCACCGCATGCTGCTGCCCAGCGGGTCGCTGTTCTTCCTGCGCATCGTGCACGGGCGCAGGAGCAAACCCGATGAAGGGAGCTACGTTTGCGTCGCGAGGAACTACCTGGGCGAAGCTGTGAGTCGCAACGCGTCTCTGGAGGTGGCATGTGAGTAAATGCTCGTGCGGCTGGCGCCCAGTAGAACTTGATGGTTGGCGTGGTGCTCTCACCCAGCGCTTGCACGCGGTCAGCGGGCTGGGAGACAATAAATGTAGATCAGTGCAGTGTTTCCTCATTAACTATCATTCTTAGTCAAGTAATTTCTATATGAATTTATTCAGTGGCAGTGACCGTACAGAGTACGTGATTTATACATGAGGCAGGATTCTAGCAACTGTATAATGATGATTGACACAAGCATGGACAAAGGCTAATCTTCCTTTAAAGAGTAATCTAATTTTTAAATTATGACTAAAGTTGGTTATACTGAAGCTAATGTGGAAAAATAACTATCATTTAATATAAGGTGCACTGTCTGTTTCTCTTTATCTAGTCATCTGTTACTTGAGCAGAAACAGGCAGCTTCTTGGTGACTCATGTTCTGTACTGCTGGAAACCTCAATACCTTCAGTATGCTCCTCTATCATCAATTCCATCCTGGCTTCATTTATTACATGAATGGCATGTGAAATTGCGGACCATTTCTCATATCATCCAGAGCAGTCTTCTTGTTTGTCAGTTCCCTTGGTCTTAGCAGAGAAGTTGTCACGGCTCTTGCAGAGACCACCCAGGGTACACACTCAGCTTCTAATAGCATTAGCAGAGACATTCGTTTTATTCACATTTGAAGCAGGCACATCATACATGTATGGTGGCACAGTTGTACCTTAAGCCTGCTTAGTTTTACAGGTTAAAGAAAAATGCTAAATTTGATCAATCTCAGCTGCAGATAGCTGTGTATCCCTCAGGTAAATGTGTGTTAATATTTTTATAAATGCTGTTCTCTTTTGGGGACTTGAGTTTTCCTCATAGAGTTCTTTGTTTAGTGAAGTTATTGCCAAATATGTGTTTGAATTGCGCAGGACTTCAACACAAAATATCATTTAGCGTATACATTAGGAGAAATATTCGTTCAGCTTCTTTGGGGCGGGGAAAAAAAAAACAAAAAACTTTCCCCATATCTTTCTTACTGCAAGTCCACAGTCTTTTGTAGCTAATATTATGTAATATAGAAGCTTCAGTCTTTCCTTAGGTCACAGAAAATGCCCTTCCTGGAATATTTAAATGCTGACAGAAATTAAGTAGAAAAGTCTTGTTCACTGTCTCTTGCTTCTCATAACCTAGATTCAGAACTGTTTCAGAAAAAAAAAAAGAAAACCGGTTTCTTTTGGCATTCAAACAAGCCACCAATATGCATTTATCCAATCCACAAAGTCATCAAAGAATGTTAATTAGATTGGGCAAATATTTGGAAAGAAGAGGAAGGCAAATTTAAGAAGGGTAGACATGTCTTGATACATTTGTTAGGGTGTTTCTGGATATGCACATGTGAGTTTTAAGCTGTCTGTTGAGAAAATCTGAGAGGCATAAAAATTTTGAATTCTCTATTTTCTTACAGTCCTGTCAAAATTAAGACATCTCCTGTCTATGTTCAGAGGCCAGTGCAAGATATGCCTTGATCAAATTAAACTGGTTATTTGGAAATACACAGGTGGTCTGTATTTCATCAGTTTTCACTGATCCCTACTTCAGTGTTCAATATGAGGCTCTCGTTACAGCATTCCCAGTTTCTGGAGTTGGGTTTAACCTCTGCAGCTGGCGGCAGGTCATGCCTGAACCGTGGGTGAGATAACAGAACACCGTAAAAATAATAAAACCAGGTTTCATTGTCAGAAGTATTTTTAAGGTAGGATCATAGAACATGAAACTTGAGATCTGAAATGATAACCAAAGTTATTGCTGTAGCAGCATGCACCTGACACCAGATTATTTTGCTGTTTTCATAGCTTTGAAGTTTAACTGACAGAATT